CTTGCGAAGTCCTGGGTCTCGCTGGGACCACATGATGCGGATGGGTTGGCTTTTTATCACCTCAAAGTTCATTGTGTCCAGTGCCCGCTCCGCTGGACGGGGAGGGGGGTGAGAAGGTGCAAGTTATGGGGGTTTTCTTTCCCTGAGCCCCAAGGTGCTTCATTGGGAGCCCCTCCCCAAAAGAGCCAGTCTCCGGGTCTCACTGGAGATAAGAGCCTGAAGGCTCAGGAGGGATAAAAAAAATTAATGTGGGGGCCAGCCAGGTGGCGCAGTTGGTTAGAGTGCGAGCTTTACCGGTTCGATTCCCACATGGGCCAGTGAGCTGCGCCCAAGCTGAGCTGCCAATGGGCGGCTGGATGGCTCAGATGGTAAGAGCGCGTGCTCTTAATAACAATGTTGCCGGTTCGACTCCCACATGGGATGGTGGGCTGCACCCCTCCCCGCCCTTCCGCAACTAGATTAAAAGTGGCAACTGGACTTGGAGCTGAGCTGCGCCCTCCACAACTAAGATTGAAGGACAACTTGACTTGGAGCTGATGGGTCCTGGAAATACACAAAGTTCCCCTTCCCTAATTCTCCAACACTGTTCTCTTCCCCAATTCGCCAATAAAATCTTTTTTTAAAAAAAGAATTAATGTGTATGGTGTTCCTCCCACTTTCCAGTTAGGATCTAATTCAACACGTCACCATAGACACATGAGCAAGGATTCCTATCCCCATTTTACAGAAGGAAAAACTGAGGCTCAGAAATGGGAACGATCAGTGGCAGAGCTGGGTCTACTGTGGTCTCTAAAGCACACTGAGTAGACAAAATTGTAAAGGAGGGTCCCTGTGACAAAGGGTGGCAGCAGTTTGAGGAAATTAAGGCTCAGTGGTGCTGAGCAGCAGAATTGAGATTCGATCCCAGGTAGTAGGGTTTGAGGGGAGATGAACATCACCTCTCTGAGTTGGTTTCTTCACCTGTAGAGATGATGATAACATTACCCACCCTTCCACATCCAACAAAGGGAGATAATATCATCTACCTCCAGCGTGTCAGACAGGCTGAGGATTAAATAAGGTATGCAAGGTGCCTTGTCCTTTGTGCCTGGCACAAAATAGGTGTTTGGGAAATGTGGTGTCTGAAAACTATGACTGTCCTCCTGCCACTGCTATGGCCTGTCCCCTCCCAGCTAATATGCTGTCTCCTGCTTCAGGGAATCCCCTAGGTTGAGGCATGGTGGGGAACTGTGCAGACCTCAGTGGAGCACATTTCAAGAAGTCTGGAAGTTTTCCATCTCGTCCTGCCATGAACACCCAGGGGCAAAACCCCTTCTCCTCTCGGGAGCTCAGCGTCCCCATTTATGAAGGCCGCTAAAAGGTCAGGTCGTGCAGGGCTTGGAGGATGATGGAAATGGCAATGGGTGGGTAAAGCAGAGAGAAGGGGAAGTCTCCCTGGAATCCAGCTCAGTCACCCACCGGGAAACAGGCAAAAAGACCCCAGCAAACCCCCAGCTCAAGAGAACTACCCCCTCCCCGCCACCATCCACCCAGGAGACCCAGAGTAAGGGCGCCCTCTTTTGGATTGGCGGGGTCAGGCCTTTTTGGGTTGTTTCTAGTCTCCCTGAAGGCTATAGTTACTATTCCTTTTCTTAGGTTCTTCACTTATTGAACCCTTACAATGTACTGGAGACACTTCATAGACACAGTTCTCCCTTCCTTCCATGCTGCTAGGGAATAAGTCCTAGCCCCATTTCACAGAACTCCTCCTCAAGCTCCCTAGTGACAGAGATTGAGCAAAACCCGGTGCTCTTACCCTTCATTCTCTCCACTCAACACAAGTGTGGACATACCCATCTGGCATGCTCTAGTCAACCCTATCAGCTCTGAGAAACCGGTTGTGGAGCCTGGAGTGGAGGCGGCTTTTCAGGGCTCCCCAAGGAGAAGGTGCCTGGTGCAGACCTCATGTCAGGCTGCCCAGAAAGGACCGAGCCCCAGGCTCAGCCCTCCTGGCTTCCTCACACTCATCACCTGTGTCCCCTTAGATATCTTCCTCACCAGGTGCTTTGAATTTCTCATCCTCCCAACCACTCTATCAGGCAGGTCTGATCCCCCCTTTTTTTTCAGATAGGCAACTGAAGCTCAGAATAGTTGCATAATTTGCTCAGTCACACAGCTGCTGGCTTTCTAATCCCAGGTTGGCCAGACCCCAAAGCCCTTGGCTGTTTTCACTCAGCCTTAATACCTCCCCTCTGCAAAACGGAGCCTTAGTAAAACATACAGCCGGCACACACTAACTGCTAGTTTCTGCCTCAGGGGCCTCTGGGGGGCAGGGTCCCTTCCATTGCCCTGTATCTCTGAGCCTGTTTCCTTGGCTGCAAAACGGAAGATGCAGCCAGAGATGAAAGCGCGTACGGCCGAGATGCCGTCGGCCCGTCCCCCTCCTCCGGGGCTCACCGTCGGCCGGCTGCTGGAAGTTGACGTAGGCATAGCCCAGCGAGCGGCGGGTGGCCACGTCGCGGCACACGCGGATGGACAGGATGGGGCCGGCAGGAGAGAACTTCTCGTAGAGCATAGCTTCCGTCACGTCGGGGTGCAAGTCACCCACGTAGAGCGAGGCGAGCGGGAAGCCGGGGCCTCTGGCGTTCATGGTGGGCGGCAGCGGGGGAAACAAGGAGCCGGCCAGCGCGGCCCCGCGCGCGTCACCCTGGCGGGAGCTAGACATCGGCGGGCGCGCAGGGGGCGCGGGGCTCTCCCTCCTGGGGCCGGCCGCCCCTCCCTTTACCGCCCTCGCCGCCCCGCGGGCCAATTGCCGGCGCTGGGGCCCCTCCCCGCTTCTCACCTGGGACCCCTCAGTGTTCTAGAAGTCTCAGGTGGGCGGCATCTCTGACCCCGTCTCCGGGGAGAGCCCTCACCTGGTCTGGGGTAGGGCTGCGAAGTGCGGTGGAGCTCCGGCAGACCTGGGTTCTAATCCCGTGTCACTGCCTTTCTGGGCCCGTTTCCGTTCTGTCAACTTCCTCTTCGCAAGGATTGGAGACTGCATCCTGTGCGTTGCACGTAAAAACGGGAGAATTCGGAGCCAGATGACCAATTTCAAAGCTTGTCTACCAAGCCACCTGAAAGGTGTCTTTTTATCATTAAGACAGCCCGGACCCTGTCGCACCCTTCTAAAACTCGCTTTGTGAGTTGGGACTGAAGGCTCTGTGAGTTGGGACTGAAGGCTCAGTGAGAATTTGGGACCACTAAGGCCTTCCTTGACACTGGCTTATATTAACACCTTTCTGTGGGGTTATTTCCTGCCCACCTCTCTCTCTTAAATCCATTTCACCTGCAGCCAGGAAGGTTCACCGTTACTTGTGACCCAGCCTCTATGGGACCAGGCGACCTAACAGAACAAAAAAACAAGGTCTTAGCAGTGGCCCCAAGCTGAGCATCAAGTCCCCTTTAGTTTGCGGCCTCAGTGGGTGGTGTAGTCATTTGTAAATGACAATACATTGTGGGGTGTACTTCACAGGCCTCTCAGGGACTCTCCCAGTTTTCTTGCAACAAAGCAGGTAGGTTCCCACTGCCCTTTGGTTGGGTGTGACTTCAACAGGTGGGGCAGCTCTGGAACCAGGAGCAGGAACTAGTCTGCCTGCCCAGCTTATTAGTAGCCAAGAAAGCACCAACCAATTCTAATCTTGGGGTAAAAAAAAAAAAATACCCCTATCATTTTTTTCTTTGTGTGAGTGTGGACAGTTTTAGAAGAGCAAATCCCATTAGGAAAGTGCTGCAGGCTACCATAAACAGTGTGGGGATAGATGACAGAGGCTGGCATAACCTTGGAGATGACCAGGCCGTATGCAACCATGTCTTGGTTACATCTCAGGGTTTAAAAAGGAGTGGGGTGCGGAACACGACTTGAATGGAATGCAAAAACTGTCTGTACCAAATCTTAGAAGCCCCAAAAGACGTAACATCTGGATGCTTTGTTATGGAAGTTGGATAGGCTCTGTCAATTACTGGTAATCTCTTCCCCTTTACGACGCTTTGACTTCTGGATCTAAAGCAGCGGTTCTCAACCTTCCTAATGCCGACCCCTTAATACATACAGTTCCTCATGTTGTGGTGACCCCCAACCATAAAATTATTTTCGTTGCTACTCTACAACTGTAATTTTGCTACTGTTATGAATTGTTACGTATCTTGTTGTTTTCCGATGGTCTTAGGCAACCCCTGTGAAAGGGTCGTTCGACCCTGAAAGGGGTCGCGATCCACAGGTTGAGAGCCGCTGTTCTAAAGGATGGCATAAAGCTGTTGTCTACCTTTACAGAGTAGAGCCACCAAGTGTGATAAAAAAAGTTAGCTAGTTCTGGTAGTAGTGATAGAGATGGGCCAACACATCAATTCACAGGCAACTAACTGATAAAATTTTTTATTTCACGTTTGAATTTGTACACTTATTCCTGATTATTCCGTGTAAGGTGGAAACTAGAACTGTTTAAAGGACATACACAAATCTAGCACATCAATAACCGGGGATTTTTTCTTTTTTGCTATACTATTTTCACAACCATGGGGTGTGCTTGCTAGGCAATATAACCATCACAGAAGCAAACGTGAGGCAGAATACTGGTAAGGAAAAACAAAGCAAGAAAGAGCTACCAGATATACAGACAGGCTCGTTCCACATTCACTACTGCATTTTCAAGCGCCAAGTATTTAACTGCACATTTTTGTTCAGCTAGAAAGGAGGGTTTTTTTTTTGTTTTTTTTTTTGGTTTGTTTTCATCAGTGCATGAATGTTTTTTTCTTATTTCAGCAGATGGACAAACAGATGGACACTACGGCTACATGGAATGTTAAAGGGAGGGGAGGATACTGTGAGACTGGTAGGCCTGGGTGTTCTTGATTCTTCCTATTGCAGCGTTCATGCGATTTCCCTGCATAATAGGGTCTTGTTTAAACACGTCTGTGAACTTGGCTGGATGAGTACAGTTGGGAGATCTGGTGACAGGTGCTAACAAGCATTATCAGGGCTGGCTGTAATACAGGGAGGAGTCATGAGTATTTAAAAATACTTTTTTGATTCAGATCTTGGTATGACTGAAGAGCAACCACCATGCTGCGAACTGGAGGAAGACAGAGCTGTGCTGCTGGAAGCTCTTCTCAACTCTGAAACTAGGCCTGCTCACCAAGGTGCTCACCAACTTCACTCTTCACCCCCTCCAGGCCCCCTATCCCTGCTCATATAGTATTCAACTGTGGACAAAAGACAAAGGAAGTCCAAAAGAAAAAAAAACTGCAAAGCAGAAGGACAGAAATTTAAAGATGGAAGAGAAAACCAAAGACAATAGTAAAAAATGACAGTGGGAAAGAATGTTCAGATTTCAAAATTTAAAAGCCCCGAGCTAGGAAGACCCCCCAAAGACTGAGTACTCCTCACGTGAAAGGCAATCTCTGCAGAACATTATTCTTAAAGGTATCACCCAGGAGACAGATAAGGCCATTCATAAGCTACACGGCTTTTCTTCTTCTTTAGCTCGTGGTTACAAAGAAAACAGATTCTACTACTGAAGCACAAGTCACAAATTAGTAACATATTGCTGTAGGAAAGGGGTTTCAGTCACGTGTGTTATGTGAGCACTCGACCTTCTCATGGTGCCATAACCCAGCTATCTGCCACAAAGAATTTCAATTTCAGGCTTTGAGTTTCCTCAGAGGAAGACACTATGGACATCTGCAGTCATGAACTCTGGAGTGGCAACAGTCCAGACTGGTCAAGTGTCTATAAGCCTTGAACAACAGGCAGAACTACTGTGAATTACCATCGAACTCGAATGCGAAATGATAGGTGTCTCACTCCAAGTCCCAGCAACTCAATATAATCTATAACTTTCTGTACAACTTTACAATGGAGCTGTATTTCAGTGACTGTTTTGATATCAGATTAAACTTTCCCAAAAGGTACATGTAATTCAGGTCTATTTTTTTCTACCAGTAAGAGTTCTGCTTAGTTACAAAACCCCATAATCACAGTGTTCAGTTTTTAAAAAAATTAAACACACAGTAATCCTGTCAATATTAACCAAAATCAAACCTTCAGAATGCCGTGGCATTTATGTGACCAATCTGAGTTTGAAATACAAATACTAGCTGTTTATCCCATAGACCATTTTTGCTAGGCTGAGGCTGTGAAAAATCGAAAGTCAACGTACGATTCTTTTTTTTTTTTTTTTATCGCACAAAGGGACGTATGTGGAGGGTACAGAGTGACACTGAACAGATCACGAAGCACAATTGACATTAGTTCTCTCCCTCCCCAGCATCTCCTTCATCTCCCTGGTTTTCCGACGTCCACAGCTGCAAGAGAAAAACAGAGCTATAATCAAAATTTACTCAGGGAGGTGACCCAGTCGGTAGTATCTTAACTCACTCAGCTGATTAAAATTCTTACTGTATTGCTGCAGACAGTGATGACTGCAAAGGTCAAAATTTTAGCACTCATTTAAAAACAGTTTAACAACTGAAAATTTTAACTGTACTTAAAAGGTACAAATCCCCTCTTGAATCTTGGGCAATAGTGATTAGGTAGCTGAATAGACTGTAAACCCTCCAAAAGCTGTCATTAAAATCAGGAGTACTTACAGTGAGATTGTCCCTAAGCAACTGCATGATCAGGGTGCTGTCTTTGTAGGACTCTTCATTCAGTGTATCCAATTCGGCAATTGCTTCATCAAATGCCTACAACAAAGAGCCGTTAGAAAAGTCACAGGTTCTTTGAACCAAGTTGAGCCCAATTTTTTCTGCTAATGAGTATCACTTCTCTTCCTGTACAGTACTCTAGGCCATTCTTATCTTGTTTGCCAGTTGTTTCAGCAAACATATAATAAATGTTTACAAAGCACCAACCAACAGTGTCAAAATTTCCTAGAGAAGAACTTGACCTAATAAGTCAGCAGGTATTCCTGTTAATACAGCACATTCATTCTAGGCAAATTTATGTAATTTTTAAATGACCAAAGACATGTCTAGTAACTTTTTTTTTTAAACTATAAATCAAAAGGTCTGGATACAAGGGATGAAGGGAGAACAGAAATTCACACCACTAAATCTGATTAAATGATGGAACTTTGAGAATTCATTTCACACACCTTTTCCAAATTAAAAGAATTTTTTTAAGTAAAAGTGTGCAGGTTGAATGACTACAAAAATATGTAAAAAAGGCCACTGGGTTACCAAAAGAAGATCTGGAGGTAAACCCAAACACAAAGAAATCATGGTCCCATTTCTTTCATTTCTAGCCGTTAACTTCAAATCGTGGTACAAGGAATACAATAAATATATCATGGAGGCCTACAGCCCAAAGCTTGGCAAGAAACAAGCTATTATACCTTCACCCTGAATTTTCCACAACCACCCCTACATTAAGCAAACAACAAAAAAATTAGCAGGTGTTGAGAAGAAATCAAAAGTAATAGATCTGTATTTATTTCATAAAAGATATACTCCTATTCCAAGAAAATCTTCAAAAAAGTCCAAGGCAATGAGTAATATTCAGGTAATAAAAAGAAGTTATTAAAGAGCACAAACACTGTTTTACTAGGATCAGAAACCACAGGGGGTCTTTCTCACCGTTTTTGCCAGGCTGCAAGCCTTCTCAGGAGAGTTCAGAATCTCATAGTAAAAGACTGAGAAATTCAGTGCCAGGCCAAGTCGAATTGGGTGTGTAGGCTGCATTTCTTTCTTACTAATTTCAAATGCTTCCTGGTAAGCCTGCTGGGAGTTCGACACAGTGGCTAAAAGATAAAAAATACTAAAGGTTGGGATCTTTCATAGGCTGCATCATATACTGGACTGCTATTAAATTGTTTTACCAAACTAGGCTGGACTAAATGACCTATGAAATGAGAGCTCAGTGTCTCCAACATTTGGTTAACAATCATTTGTTAAATGTTTGTTCTAAGGTAAGTACTACAGTAAATGCTTTGGGAGAAAACAAAGACCAAGTCTATCTATAAAGCAGGTAAGAAATACAGAAATAACCTTAAACAAGGTAGGACATGGAAAACAATATGCTCTAGTGGAAAGATCACGGACTTCAGACCCAAACTCGAATTCCCAACTCTATTCACTAGGTGTGTGGCTTGGAATAAGTGACACGCTTCATGAGCCTTGGCTTCCTTAGCAGGAAAATGGACAGACTCCCACCTAAACTCCTAGGGTTGTGTGTGAATGGAGGAGACTCTACAATACATGGCACAGAGTAGGCACTTAATAAAGCATAGTTATTATCACCATTACAGTAATACATGTATGTGATAAAAGAAATGCATCATTATTTACTGTGGTGGTCTCACGCTATCAAATTTTTTCAAGTCGCACCTTTAAAGAGAGCGCCTCGGATAATCCTCAAGATAAAGATCTCTTTAAACGCACTGCTGCACCAGACTTTTAATGCCCTCCCTATCGTCCCCTTACATTCTGATGTGTCAGCCCCCAGGATCCCAGCTGTCAGTCTTTTAGATTCTGAGCACTGTGATGTTAGTGGCTACGCTGAACAGACAAAGCAAAAACTGTTAAAATTATTATGAGAGAAGACTGGGTCCACTACTGGTCAAATTTCTTTTTTAAAAAAATGTTACTTACTTTGTTTATTGTCTCCAGATGCCACCTCAGAAAGATATCTAAAATAATCGCCTTTCATTTTCAAGTAGAACACCTTACTTTCTGGTTGTGTAGCATTGGGAATAAGATATTTGTCCAACAGCTCCTAAAAAATGATTCACATTCTGTTAAGAATCTGGAAATATTATTTACAAGGTGTTAAAACTATGTTTGAGATTCAAGATACATACTACCACTTCTAAATTTTTTTGAAGATTTAAAAAAACGTATTTTTCATCCAAAGCTTTTAAATGGTTGTTAGCCCAGGTCATAAGAGCAGATGCCTGTTTTCTTCTGTTAAAAATCACTTTGACCATCCATAAGGGGTTGATTAAAGTAGAGCCATACAATGGAATGCTATACACAGGCTTTAAAAATGACGATGCAGACCTACACTGATAACATGGAAAAGTTCTCAAAAGTCTTGAGTGGAAATAAAAAATGCAGATTATAAATACCACATGAATCCCATTTTAATATTAAAATATATATGTGTACACACACAAAAATATGTAAGGGGTAAGTCTGGAAGTATATGTATCACTGTTAATAATGGTTCTAGGTGACAGGATTACAAATGATTCTTACTTTTTAATTTATACTCTTCTGCCATATCCTTTAAAAAAAAAATTAATGTGTATTGCTTCTATTTTAATAGAGAAAAATAAAACTTCCCATCTTGGTAGGAAAAGGGTGATAATAGAGCAACACTGCCAAAAACTTAAATTTAGCATCAATCAGACCTGGGTAGAAATCCCTCCTCTGCCACTTACACTATCTGTATGACCCTAGACAAATGACCTCATGACCTTGAGCCTCAGTTTCCTCAGCTCTCCAACTGGGAAGCACAATAGCCATCCTTGTGGTGTAGTTATGAGGAGAAATGAGCTCACGTACATACAGTGTTTAACATGTTGCCTGGCACGTAGTAAGCACTCAAAAAGTAGCTACTACTATTATTAATAATAAATTCCTTTAAACATTTATGCTTACAACAAAAGCAGTTCTGAAGGAGTCCAAGCTTCGTATACAGAGCAATATTTTCGAAGAGTTGTTTTAGAATGTGGCATCCTGAAAAACTGGTTAAGAGGCAGTAAGTACCATGCTTCTCTTCACATTCTTTCAGATACTCTTAAGAGCTGGTCTGCATTCTCAGGAATTATGGAGCTTTCTTGCCCTTGGAATGCATGCCATACTTCATCTGAATACCAGGTGGACCTAACATTCAGGAATTAGCGCACCATTAACAAACCCCCAAATTACCAACAGGCACCAGATTTAGCCATGACATCTTACACCATGAGTTGAACAAAAAGAGCAGCTCAGTGCAAAAGCTTAGCTATAAGGGGGTGTACTCAATCAAAGTGAGAAGATGCAAGGGGCAGTAGTCATTTTAATATTCTTTGCAGACAGACACGGTGTAACTTCTTATGGGTTAGGGAGGAGACTGCCTGATGGCTGAATAAGCTTTGCACAGGTTTTCAAAAGAAAGGTGTCATGGACAGTAACTCGGAGAGGCAGCCAGCAGGGGAGGAGATAGATCCACAAGTGTGAATTCCTTTTCCCTTCAAAGCAGCCCTCACCGTTCATTTTTACCTGATTTCACCTGGAAGAAAAAGAAAGTTCCCAGTGGGCTCAGGATGTGAGGGAAAGACAATATGATCATGAGTTGCTCTAGGATATGCACCCCTCCCATCCAACCCCAGATGGTGGCCCAGAGTGAACAGGAGAGGGGGATCCCCAAACCACTGTTGATTTGGCTTTGGAACGCAGGCCCGAACTGAGCAACGTGGCTAACTTTCAGACAGACAAAAACAGGACTCTATACGATGCGGGAATGACTGGGGAGGGGATGAAAGGCAGTTCAGCCTTTTGCTCCTGTTCCCCTCCTGGAGGTGACATCACCATAGACTAACACATAAAATAGCCTATCTGCAGTTGCATCTGTCTAAATCCTACCTATCCGGATGGACTCAATTTCTAAAGAAAAGATGGAAGGATGCTGACTAAATGTTCCTGTTTTTCACAGGTCTTTTTGAAGGGAGAGGAAGGTACCCCATAAGTGATAAGCAACCTCTGATCAACTAAGAGGTGAGAAAAATCACATCGGATGCTTAAAAATCCATAAGCGGTTTGAGAGTTTCCATTTGTATATTAAATTAATACTATTTGGAAATCATTGTTTAGAAGGAAAACACTGGTCTCTCACCAGAACATCGTTGCAGATGTCCTGCAGTTCTGCCTCTATCTTCTCACGGTATTCTTTGCCCATCTGCTGCTTCTTCTCATTCCTCTCTGTTTTCTGTTCAATGCTGGAGATGACACGCCAGGAAGAACGGCGGGCGCCTACCACGTTCTTGTAGGCAACAGAGAGCAGATTTCTCTCTTCATTGGAGAGTTCGTGCCCCTGCTCTGTGACTGCCTTCATGGCTGCAGCCATATCATCATAGCGCTCAGCCTGCTCGGCGAGTTTGGCTTTCTGTACCAGCTCACTTTTATCCATGGTCATTCCCTAGAACAAGAGGAAGAAAAAAAGGAAGAGAAAGCAAAAGTCAGACTTCAGGGCCCAGGAAACGCATGTGTGAATCTTCTTCCAACCCATCTGGAAAGAAACATGCCTCCATGCGAAACATCTATTTCCAGAAGCCAACTCAGCAACACAGACCAGGAGGACCTGCAGGATTAGGTGCCTGGGTTCTTTGCCAAAGTCTTTTTATTATTTTGGTCAATTAATTTTCCCAACAGTCTTACAGAGTAGATATGTTCACAACAATGCCTCCCTCCTTTCTCTGAGATGAAGAAATGGAGGCTCAGCAAAGGCACGGAAATGTGCCCAGGGCAACTCCAATAAGATATGGTAGAGAGCTGGAGCTCAAGTTCCAGTCTGTCTCTAGAGCTTTTGTTTTCTTCCACTTCCCTAATCTGCCTCCTCAATACACACACTGCATAATAAATATTTCTTTAGATATTTATGCTAAATATATGGCCTTTACTTTTTTCAAGAATTGTCTGGTTTTGTCCCCATATTATATGGAAAAACATCTTAATTGCTTCAATCAATCTTAAAAGATATGACTACATGTTTTATTTGACAGTGGCCCTCAAGCAGTAGGTACCTAAAAATTAGGCGCCATTTTTACCATATCTTCTGTAACTTGCTAAATTTGTTACAAGGACATACTATAGCATAAACGCAAGGCAGACAGATTTGGCTCCATCTAACAACAGCTCTGCTACTTACAAGTGGTATAACCTTTGTCAAACCACTTAACCCCTGAGAGCTTAAGTGCTGAAGACACTCATATTTTTTGGAGCCTATACCATGTACAAAATTAATGCCTGCTATTTGTATATAACGCTGTGAACTTTTCAAAGCATCTTCACGTAGATTAGGTGGTTTATTCCTGACAACAGCTCGTGGAGAGTTGGTAGTTTTCTTATTCTCCACTAAGGAAACTGAAGCTCTACTGTAATATAAGCACATAAAAAATATACTATTCATCATCTTAAAATTATACACTCTCAGTATGTCTAACTTTCTTGACCATAAAGTCTTTCAGATCAGAACACTATCTCCATCATGAAATAACCCTACTTCATTGTTCCTAAAAGTGAGAAACAGAAAGAAGCCAATTTTCAATCAACTTTTGAAACTTTCCAGTCTATAAACTAATTCAAAGTTAGCAGTCACTTAGTGGCCCACACCAAAGTTCATAAAACAGCACCTGTCCAACTCTACATAGGAAAGATTCCAATTAAGAAAGTGCTGGCCAAAAGCCAACTCAGAGCTAAGCCACCCAGGCAGTATTATAAACAGTAATGAGTACAAAGCACTAACACTGCTAATGGGTGCCATGAAACTCTCTGGCCCACTAGGCCCCCCAACTAAGACACACCCCGCCTCCTCCCCTTCCCAAACATTAAAAGTTAAATCATACCTCTCCGGAAGAATCCTGACCACTCCTTGGGACCTCCCAAATGTATGCACCCTATTTCTCAAAATAAAATGTGACCTTTCTGGTTTGGGGCCAACTATTTCCAGCTTTTTAGAGATCACTGCAAGAGCTCTTGGAGATTGAGAACCATCATGATATGGTAAGACTGAATACATGGCCTAAAAAAAATATCCATCTGTTTAAAAGACCCCCTCCCCCACAACAAAAGCCATTGCTAAGTGTCTTGATGCCTACTGCTTACATAACTTTTGACTTATATAACATGGATTTTGAAGCAGCTAGACCAATTTCAACAGGAAATGGGTTACACAACACCCAGCAGTTTGGCGGAAGGCAGCAGACAACGGAGAAATTAAATTGTTCCTATTTCTACATCTACAATAACCTCCCATCCATAATCTTTCCCTAGTCCCACTGCTTTCAGTTTCTCATTATCTTTAGTTTCCTTCATGTCTTTGCTTTCAGACCCACTCTTAAAGCTCTGATCAAGTCACTCCCTGCTCAAAAAATTTTAACGTCCTCTACTGCCAATAATAGAGTCAGATTTCCTCCCGTCAGTGAAGGCTTTCCAACTATCTTGCCCAGGTTTTTCCCAAAACATGCCTTTCACAAGTATGTACTTCGGTCAAAATGGTTTTCTTACATATAAAGTGTGCTTTTCTGTCTTTGTGTCTTTGCTTACCAAACCACTGCCTCTCCCTGAAATGTCCTTTCCCTAGATGGCAAAGGCCGGCTCAAATGCCACACCCTCCACGGAGCCTTTCTTAAGCTGCTACGCCTGAGCTGCCTAATATGATGGCCAGCCACTAGCCACACACAGCTAATGCCGCATGTTTAAATTGTAATATTTGGATATGTGGAGTTGTATTTTAAAATGTTAAAATTAATTTTACTTGTTTCTTTTTATTTTTTAAATGTCAGCTACCTGAAAAATTTTATTACATGTGACTCATGTTCTATTGGACAGAGCTACTCTAAGCTGAAAACATTCTCTCAAAGCATCTATACCTATCTTAACGTCCTATCACATGTTTTCAGTACTAAAATTATTTGTTTATATTCCTTAAGTCCCTTACTACACCATAAACTACCTTAGGGCATATCTTCCATAGCACCTTACACACAATAGGTATGAATAAAAATATCTGCTGAAAGAACAGATCCCAAAATGAAAGAATAGCAAAACTGCCACTTTGGTAGAGTTCTCTCTTCTCACATAATTCATGAGCACTTTAAATCCTCATGATGTTTGCACCTCATTCCTTGTACTTTTGGAACCCTACTTCAAAATTACTTAGTCATGGCTCCGCCCTTACTCAGTAACTTTCAGTGGCTCTTCTGGCCACTCTACCAAATCCAAACTCTACCTGGCTTTCAAAGTCCTTTGTAACTTGGCTCCTCCAGACCCGGTTAGGCTCTCTCATCCGCTATTCTCCAACGTGTACCTTTCTCCCAGGCTGGACATCACTGAATACCCTATAAAATTGCTCCTGTATAATAGTCTTCCCTTATCTGCGGTGTTGCTTTCCACGGTTTCAGTTACCCATAGTCAACTGTGGTCTGAAAATATTAAACGGAAAATTCCAGAAATAAACAATTCTTAAGTTTTAAATGGCACGCCATTCTGAGTAGTGTGATGGAATCTTAGGCTATCTGGCTCCGTCCCACTCAGGACGTGAATCATCCCTTTATTCAGAGTATCCATGCTGTAAGACGCTCCCTGCCCGTTAGTCACTTAGTAGCCATTTCGGTCATTAGATAGCTTATCAGACAGACCACATTCAAATAACGTTTTATTACAGTATATTGTTATAATAGTTCTACTTTATTAGTTACTGTTATTAATTTCTTATTGCGCCTAATTTATAAATTATAAACTTTATCACAGATATGTATGTATAGGAAAAAACAGTATATATAGGGTTCGGTACTATCTGCGATTTCAGAAATCTACAATGGTGTCTTGGAACAAATCCCCCAAATGTTAAGGAGGAACTACTATAGTTCCCTTCATTTAGATTGCTCTTTTTTTTATTTCCTGCCTATGCAAACCTCCATCCATCCATCTAGGGCTAGAAAGCATTCCCTGCCTACGAATCCAAATATACTTATAGCCTACTATACAGTCTAGGGCAGCGGTTCTCAACCTGTGGGTCGTGACCCCTTTGGGGGTCAAATGACCCTTTCACAGGGGTCGCCGGGTACTCGTATGTGGGCGTTATCTGCATGTGGGCCTGGAGACGGATAGAGGAGCGGTGTCTCAGTTCCTAAAGCCATCGAAAATATGTGTTTTCCTATGGTCTTAGGTGACCCCTGTGAAAGGTTGAGAACCACTGGTCTAGGGCATCTTTATGCCCACATTCTATGTGTTCTATGGTGCAGATGATGAGTAGTATACCATTTACAAACAGTTTCACATGTGTATGTTCTCAAAGGAAAGCTTTACATCTGTTCCTCATTTAATACCTAAAACAGTGCCAATCAAATAAGTGTCTATGAATTTTTTCAACAAATCTTCACTGGGAGAGCAGAGAGAGCACAGGCTACCTACACGAGGTTTGGCAGAAAGGCAACAAGACAATGTGTAAGACCTGCCACCACAATAGCCACGTGAGTCAGTGCAATCTCAGTCTTCCAATCTGTAAATTGGAGACAACAGAATCTACCACAGAAGAGGTGCTGTCAAGATGAGGGGCAGGAAATTAAAGAACAGTAAATAAGGAAAAAAAAAATTTTTAAATGCATAGTGCAAAACAAATCTGAAGTACTATTATTCTGCTCACAGTACCTATACATTCCTGTTTTAACCCACAAAATGTGAGCTTGGATTTGTTTAAAAAAATACAGAACCCATGAGAAGGAAAAGCAAGTCTAGATTAATCCTGTACAGGAAGTGAATATATTGTTAAATTCCTAGATAAAACTCTGCCCCTCAATGTCTTCAAAATGGGCACAAATGTTAACAATATTCATTAGTTCCTAACTGAATCTTCTAGAGATGCCAAGTAGTGATGATACATAATCAAGACTTAGTTCTGAGACTTTGAACCAAAGTTCCACCAAGCTAAACATCAGCAAGAGAGCTTTTATTTGCCTCTTAAAAAGCCTTAAGAGATTGCAGTTTCATCAGGCCTGGCACTCACCGCACAATCAAGATACCGGAGGAGAAAATTTTATTAGCGGCTGAAAGGTCTAACCCTGCAGTGGGCCAAAGGACTTCCTTGTACCTGGCAGAGAGCAGGAAGACACTGACACGCTCCAGGACAGGAATTCTCCAGCATAGCCACATCATGATGGCTGTCGAGCTGTTCAAGGCCACTAGATGCAACACTTTTAAGAGGACAATCTAAATGTCCAACAGTGAGGGGGGTGGTTAAAAGAGAGAGAAGGGCCGGCCGAATGGCTCAGTTGGTTAAGAGCTCGCTCAAGAGTGTGGTTCGAGTCCAAGCCCGAGCTGAGCAGCCGCTGAGCTGCCAACAGGTGGCAGGATGGCTCAGCTTAAAAAAAAAAGAGAGAAATGGCCATCAAAAGAAGGGAGTTAATGTCATAGAAGTAT